CAGGCGCGCAGCTGGAGGGGGGTCCCCTGCTTCCTCGCCCCTTCCCCGATTCCCGCCTTGCGCTCGGAAGGCTTTCGGGGGTCCAGGAGTCGCTCCCGGGCTGCGAAGACAGCCTCCCGTTTGCGGAGGCGGCGGCAGCGGCGGTTCCGCCGGGCTGAGGCAGGTTTTTCCAGCTCCCTCCGCTTCCGCTTCTTTCCCCCTTTCTAAGGATGCCTCGCATTGCTGGACAATGTTCAGATTAATTTTATTTCGTTCCTCCCGCCTGTACTGTATATGGATGTTTATTTTCTGCCTTTGCACGGAGGCTCCAAAGCTGCGTGCAGCCGGCTGCGATGGGTCACTTTTTTAAACCGTCCATAAGAAGGATTCGGAAATAAATTCAATTTATTACAGATTATTTTCTTTGCGTAGGGATCCGTTTGGAAGCATCAGCCCCCCCACCCCAAGTGTGAATGCGCGCGTCCCTTGTTTAAAATAGATTTTCTGGCGAGAAACTGCTGGCTGTTTACTCGGTTTGGGTGCCTTCGCGGTGAGGTTTGGGGCGAGAGACCGAGGGGGTGACGGCGGGATTTGAACGGTGCTTCTCTGCTTCTGCGGAAGGGGAGAAAATTAAGAAGTTTGTGTTCCCGTTTGAGGGAGGCAGAAAGGTTTGGCCGATTTTCTGTAATTACCCCGAGAGCTGGCATTTAATCCCCGCCTCTCTGTTTTCTTTTCTGCTGGCGGAGACTCTCCGTGGCGCTTAAGGAAGCTTTCGGATCTCCCGTAAAGACATTAGAGGAGCGGCGGGAATGGATTAGCCGCGGCGGCTCACCCGCTTTCCGGCCGAGCCCTCCATCCCGATTTAGAGATGAGAAAGTCCCAAAGACTGAGGGGTGGAAATGCAAGGAAGGCGCGGATTCGGCTCCCCTTCCGGCTGCGGCGCCTCCATTGCCTTGTGATTCCAAAGCTGCTGGGGCTTTTCCTCGGTTTGGCCCCGTTTGGTTTGGCCGCGGGGCGATCTTCCGAGCAGGAGGGACCCGGAGGTTGGGGTTAAATGCGTTTTACGCCACGTTAAGGCAGGATTACAGATAAGGCCGGGGAGAGCAGCCTGCTTCAGCTCTTAAGCCCCAGCGGGGCCGTCAAGGAGGGCGCACGCACCTCTGGCTGGCGAGACGCTGGACAGCTCCTCGCACGTGTAAATCCACTCCCGAGCCTCCCTCCGGGAAGCCTCCACTTTCTCCCCTCCCCCCTCCCCGGCCGCAGGAACAATGACCAAGATCCCAGTCGTGGTTTAACCACAATTCGTGGCTCATGATATTTCGATGTTTAATGCATATTTTCAAAAGGGAGCGAGAAAGCAGAAAGGAACGGTCGCCGCAAGGAAAGGCCCCTTTGCGGACACTTCCCCAACTTGAAAAGCTGGGCTGGGGGTGGTTGTGCTCTCCGGGCCTTCCCAAAGGAACTCGAGCGGGACCCTTGACTCAGGCAGGCGCACTCAACCGCCCCCCCCCCACCAGCCGGTCTTTCTCCGCCTGGAGAGACTCCTAGGAAGACCCCCAAAGGAGGGGGCGGCTCGGCTGCGGCAGAGGCACCTCCGC